CCTACTCATGTCAGCAGTGCTTTTCACTTCATGCTGTGCTGTGAGACCCTTTTCTTTTTTTTTTCCAGACAAGGACAGCCTCCTGATGTCCATTTTCCAAGGGAAAATGTGGAGTCTATACTGTCATGACAGAGCTGTGCTTCAACACAGCTGTGCACGATGCTGCTGCAGCTCCTCAGGTGCATAAACCAACCAGGACAAGGAGTTGTAAACCCTCCTCCACCCTCTGTGGGAGGATGAGCAGTGGGTCTGTGGAGGAGCAGGAGCTGTACAGGGTTTTCCTGAGCACAGACACAGCTCTCTGCAGCAGGACTTGGGATGCTCAGCAGCACCACTGGGTCTCACATCCAGCTCAGCCTTTGCCAGCTGCTCACAGGAGGTGTTTGGGAAAACAAGCACGTCGGATTGTGCTCCAGGCAATGGGAACAGTGATTAACAGCTCAGTGGGTTTGATCACATCCCAGTGGCAGCCAAGGGCTGCTCATGGGCTAAGGACCATCCAGAGGGTGACAAGGACACTGGCCAGAGGGGGAATAACTCAGTGGGAACTGCTGAGGTGGAGAACCAGCAGCTGTAAGTGACAGGAATTCAGTGTTTGTATCCAGGGCAGCCTTCTCAATGCTTTAATTACAGTTTGAGTAGTGCAATGAAATCCTGGTGACCTTCTGGATGCAGCAGGAGCTGGAAGCACTGGATGGATAGAGGTAGCTGCCGTGCAAACTTAAATCTCCAGGTCCCCAGGACTTATTTCTGATTCTTTTCCTCTGCTTCTCAGACAGGTTGTGCTGGAAGGCAGAGAGAGGAGGGAGGAAAGAGGTCCTCAGAAAGGAGGGGGTGCTTGGGAGGGGGTCTCCTGGAGGATGGGGTCCCAAGGAGGAGGGAGTTCTTGGAAAGGGGGGGGTCACCTGGAGGATGGGAACCCCAGGAGGAGAAAGTCCTCGGATGGGATGCTCACCCAGAGGATGGATTTTCCAGGAGGAGAGAGCCCTTGGAAGAGGGAGTCCCTTGGAGGAGGGATCACCCAGGGTATGGGGTCCATAATCATATGGAATTTCTAGGAGGATTTGGTTGGGTTGGTTGGATTTTTCCCCCTCTATAATACAATTTTTCACCTTTCAAGTGATGCTGCTTTAGTGTCCTTCATCATTCTGTAGCTTCAGTAGCTTGTAGTTTCAGTAGCTCCCACGGAGGTGGCAGGTGGAATCTGAAACATTAATTAGCACCCTTCAAATGACCCTCCTCCAACCCAAGTGATGGAAATGAAAGCATGGCAGTGTTCACCCGGAGGAGGGAATCCTCGGATGAGATCCTCACCCGGGGGATGGGGATCCAAGGATGGGAAGGGGGATCCAAGGATGGGAAGGGGGTCCCAGGGAGGGGAGGAAGGTCGCCGGGATGGGGATGTCTTGCTCTGTGGGGTCGGTGGGCGCTCAGCCCTTGGGTACCAGGGAGCATCGGGGGGTACCAAGGGGTACCAAGGGGTACCAGGGCTGTACCGGCCGCGGAGGGAGGCGGACCCGGGGAGAACGGGAGAACTGCCCCCCCCGTGGTGGGTCGAACGGGAAGGGGAAGGAGCGGAGAGGAAGAGGAGGAGTTGGGCTGCACCTGGAACGCGTCATTACTCCCAAGTCCGGGCGCTGGGTTGGTGCTGCTGCCTACGCGGAGCTGTCGGGGCTGGGCGGAAAATGGTGAGAAAACGGCATTTTATTGCGGTTGGGATGGGGGGGAAAAAAAAAAAGAAAGGGGAGAAAGGAAGACCAAAAGGAGTGTCCTGCGCGGAGCTCCCCCGGGGCGATGCGGTCGGGCGCGGCAGAGATGCGCAGGTGAGGATGCTCAGGGATGCTGAGGATGCTGCGGGAGCTGTGCGGGAGCAGCTCGGCCTGGCTCCGTGTCATTCCTTGTCGCCGCAATTAAACAGGGATGAGTTTGGAGGGAGATGATTTACATGGCAGAGCTCCGTGGAGCTGTACCAGCCCCAGGCAGGGCTGAGGTTCTCATCGGGGGTCAGAGAAAGGGAGAAAATTCAGCCCGTGTTTAAAAATAAAGCGTTTAGCTTCGTTGTTAGATATTATTCTGTTTGCAGTTTAAATAACCGAAAACCACAGCTCCTCGGAGTTTTGCCTAAGTATCATTTCGGCTGTTGTGTTCTTGCAGCAAGATCAATAATCTTATTTTCTTCCCGTTCTCTGTGTGTTGTTTGCTGATAAGTTGTTTTTTCCTCGAGCCGCAGCTCGTTTAGCCAAGGCTCACACCCCTCCTTAATTGGTTTCCTTTTGGGTTTCTGCTGGTTTTTTAGCTGGAAAGACAAGGAAAACGTGATGTGCAGCACGAAATCATCATCTGACCTTTAAAGCCCGTTGCCAGGTTGATGTCTGGGGAAGGGAGGGGAGGCTTTCCAAGTATCATCTGAGTATTATTTAAGAAGCACTGGCATCTCAGTGTGGAATTAAAGCTCAAACCCAGTCATTCCCTTGAGATTGCTGTGATTGAGATGCCCACCAGCAGCTGTGTGTCACCCACATCCCCTGTCAGTACACATCAGAAGGCAGTGGCTAAACGGGGGAGGAATTGCAAAGGTTAAGAGAGTGTTTGCATTTTGTCCATATTATTCAATTAAACGCCTTGGCAGATTTTTCTGCTCAGCCTACATGTTCATTTTCCTCATCTGGAGTTTCTCAGAGGATTTGGTTGGGTTGGTTGGGGTTGGGTTTTTTTCCCTCCATCTACAATTTTGCACCATTCAAGTGATGCTGCTTCAGTGCCCTTCATCATTTTGTAGTTTCAGTAGCTCCCACGGAGGTGGCAGGTGGAATCTGAAACATTAATTAGCACCCTTCAAATGACCCTCCTCCAACCCAGGTGATGCAAATGAAAGCATGGCAGTGTTCCAGCTCCATGTGGGAGTATTTGGGGGTTTTTAAGTAGATAGAAAGTCATTAGAGAGACATTAACTGACACTAGTGATTGAGTCATTAAATCATCTTTGCCAGGTTTGGGGGGTTCATTAATCATAGAATTTTTGGGGTTGGAATGGATCTTACAGATTATTTAGTGCAAACCCCAAGCTAGAGACGTGTGGCTGAGGGAAGAGGTTGCTGTGTTGGATCATGTGGCATTGAGCAAGGACCTTGGTGGAGCTTCTCCTCTTGGAAATGATCTTGAAATGTTCTCCTGAGAGCAGACAGTGGCAGGGAAGGCACTGACAGGGCATGCTGTGAGCAGACAGAGCAGCACAGGATTTTTTTATGACCTGTAAGCAATAACTGCTGCTTTTGATTATTTTTCAAACACTCTGCTGTCACTGTGAGGCATTTCTTGCTCCAAAATATCCAGAGCTGTTGTACACATTTTTTTTTTCCTGCTTCGTTTTTCCTTCGTTACTCTCATGGGTGAATATTTAAGCATTTTGTTGTGGTTTTTTTTTTTTTTAATACATAATAGGTTTTTTTTTTTTATTTTGTTTTCATTTTTGAAGCAGATTTAATGTGACTTTAAGGGAAGGACTCTGGGCTGTAGGTAGGATTCCTTCCCAAGGCTTCTCTTCCAGTGATGTGCAGCTGTGCCCAATGTGAGTCCTCATTCTACTGGGGGTCACTGCCCCATGGGGGACCCCAGCACCCATCCAAGGGAGCTTGGAGCAGGGAATTTGCTTCCCTGCAACCCTTTTTCCCTCCTCTCATCCCTCCAGGCTCAGACACAGGCTCTGATAACCTTGTCTCTGTGTAAGCTGTTGTGTATTCGAAGTTCTCCAAGCTCAGCTCATAGCAGTGACATCTGAGCAACCTCAAGTGTGTCCTGTTAGTGACATGATGCCTGTACTCCAAAAATAGATTTCCTTATGAAAATACAGCCTGGAAAGGAAGTTTGAGCTGTGTGGTGTCTAGCAGATAACAGAGAAACCAGGTCCTGCCATGGAGCTGCTCTGAGTACTCAGTCACAGAAACATCAGCTGACTTCTGGATCAGTTTTGTGAGCTGTAAAGCCTGAAATATATAAATTCCTGAAATTTGTACTGTGTTTTGGGTGAAATGTTGAGAAATGACTCAGGTGTTCACTGGTGGTGTGTAGGTGTGGCTGCAGATGGGATTTAAGGCTGAGAAGATGTGAAGGTGTTGGTCATGAACCTGCTCTGGTGTTGCCTCTGCTGAGCAGCTCATGGGTTTTTTTCACCTTCACAGGTAAAATGCTTCAACATTCACAGGTGAGGAAGCAGAGGGAGATGTAGATTGACCAGTAACTCCAAACTGAAGAAAGTTAACTCTACTTCAGCTCAAACCAGCACACTCAGGCAGCAAGAAGGTGGCAAAACCAAGCAGAGAAACCTGCTTGTTCCCCAACCCACCATCCCTCACCAGGTACGTGCAGGATGTGTCTCCTGGAAAAGCACCTTGAATTGAATTGAGTTTTGGGTTTTTTTTCATTCCTAATGGATATCTCCAGCACTCCTGTGCTGTGCAGCTGGACTAATGAAAAGGTGAAAGCATAATGAAAAGGAAAATCAGTAGTGTTGGATGTGCTCCAGGTTGGAAAGGGGTTACTCACGGTAAATTGAACAGCTTGCCTGGGGTGAGCTGGCTCTGCCTTTCGGATGCAGCACTCTGGCTGGCTGCCCTCAGCTCCTGCCATGGATGCTGGAAGTATGCTCTGAGATAAATGCTTGGCATTGGAATTGCCATGGAGAAAAATGAAAAGAAGCCCAGGTTAGGTGAGCTTGCTTAGAGCTGGTCCTGCCGTTGGGTTGGTGGCTGAGCTGATATCCCAGTTGGATTCTCCATCTCTCTCATTCTAGATGATCATTACCAATTTCCCCCTGTGGCAGACCCCTGGAATATATAGCAGAAGGCATGAAAAATAGGAAAAACCCTGAAAAATAAACATGGAAATGAAAATATCAAGAGAGGAGATTTCAAATGCTGCAGCTGCCTGGCTTTGGCTTTGGAAATGATTTCAGGGTTTAATATAGGTTTCTTTCTTTTTCTTAACCAAACTAGGCTTGAAAAATGGCACCAACTGCTCGAAGACAAGCAGGAATATGGAGGCAAACCCGAGCTCTCTTGTTCAAGAATTGTCTTATTAAGTGTAGGACTAAGAAAAGCAGTGTCCAGGTAAGGGGGGGAGTCCTTGGGTCCTGCAGCTGCAGTTATTGTGCCTCTCAATAACTCCCAAATCAGAGGCAACACTCAGTTGTGTTGTTATATTTCTGAAGCTTCATGGTCTGCTTGAATTTTGGGTTGAAACAGGCTTTTTTTCAGGAGATATTTTGTGATCCTTTGGTTGCAGATGTATCCTAATGTGCAAGGCTTTCTCTGGAAAATAACCTTGAGTATTAAATTGCATAGAAATATAATACAAATAGCCATATATTAATACAGAAATAAAACTATGAAAATGTAACCATATATTGGTATGTATCAATCATTATATATTTATGCTATGAATAGTATTGTATGAATTAAAATACCCTCAAATATTGCCCTCTTAGTGCCCTCCTAAAGGCATTTCCATCTGTAACCACCCAGAATAGTGAGGTGAGACCTCCCAAATAATTTTTGCCTCTTCTCCCAGCTCAGCCCTGTGTGTACAGGTGATGGGCTGATAATTGGAGCTGAATTTTGAGGAGCAGAACAGCCAGTGCAGTGCTTGGCTGGGCTCATTTAGTGGTTCACAGCTTGTGTTTTATTACTTCCCAAAGAGCAGGAATTTGCTGATGTTTAAAGCTTGTAGAATTATCCCTTTGGGCCTTAAAATGGCTTCTTAGGTTACTAATGCCTGCGATTCAAATCCTCCTCCAGCACCAGGGAAGGATTTGGCATTAAAACTGCTGTTGTAAACATTCAGGGAATTTTACAGTCAAGTAACTGTGCTCACAGTCCCTCCTTGGAGCTTCTTGAGAGATAAACGTTGGGAAGGGTTTATTGTCATGATTGAAATATTCCTTTTTTTTTTTTTTTTTTTTCTTGCACAGGAGATCCTTTTCCCTCTCTTCTTCTTGTTCTGGCTGATCCTGATGAGCATGATGCACCCACATAGGAAGTATGATGAGGTGGCCAACACCAACCTGGGCACCTTGGACACCTCCATGCTGGTGAACTTTGTCATTGGGTACACCCCTCCCACCCGAGCAGCACGAGAGATCATGAAGAAAGTGGCTTATGATAACTTTGAAGATGGTACTTAGCCCCTCAATGGTTTCTTTTTTCTCCCTACATCTCACTCTGTGGTTTGTGTTTGCAGAGGGAGCTCAGTGGTGCTGCTGGATAGAAGAAATCCATGAGTTTTCCTGCACTGAGACTGTGAAAGCCTTGGGTTTTGGGGTTATTTTTGTGGGTTTTTTTTTTTGTTTTTTTTTGTTTTTGCTTGGTTGAGAAATGTTCTGGCACATCTCAAAGTGGTTCCCACTTTCCTGGAGCAGCCAACACGTGTGTTGTGGCTGCAGGAAAATTTTGGGGGGCAGAAAACTCCTGAGCATCTCCAGGGCCAATTGATGCTTGTCCTGTGCCATCCTGGGGCAAACTCCCATTGCTTTGTTTCCTAGTTGTTTTCTGTTTGGTTTTCATGTTTATTTCTTTTTCCTGTTTGTTTTTTCCATTTTGCTTTCTTCTTGGTTTTTTTTCTGTTTCATTTTCCTGTGTTTCTCCTGTGTGTTTCTCCTGTTCCTGTTTGTGTTTCTGCTTTTTTTTTTCCTGTTTTTTTTTCTTCTCTTTGCTCTTTTCCCTTTGTTGCTTGGGTTTTTTTCCATTTGAGATTTGATTTTCATTTGTCGCTTTTTTTATTTCCATTTGGTTGTTATTTTTCCCTTTGTGAGTTTTTTTCCATTTGTTTTTTTCCCCCTGTTCTTATTTCCTGGGTTTTTTTTTTCCTGTTCTCCCTTATCCTATTACATATATACACACATACATATTTATACATCTCCAAACCAAATAAATCCTTAACAATTACCATGATCCCTCTTTCAAAATGCCCATTTTTTTTCTCCCTGCTGTGCCAATACCTAAATCCACATGAGAATGTCTTCACCCCTCCCAGGTATCATCACTGAGGAGTATTTAAGTGAGGAGGAGCTGCAGGAGGCAAGTGCTTTCAAACCCTCCAACTTCGTGGGGGTTGTCTTCAAGGATTCCATGTCCTACCAGCTGAGGTTCCACGACTCCATCGCCATGTCCTCCATTTACATGGAATCCAGAGGTAAAGCTGAACTCTCTCACATGTGTTCTGTAAGGAGACAACACTGGAAAATTATTCCATGAGGGTTTTTTTCCCTTGGTGTTGCATGTGTT